AAGTCTGTGAAAATTTAGACTGAAAAATACCAGAAATAGAGGAAAGTGCCAGTGCACATAGGAAAATGCATTTTAGAACACTTCAAAGTTGTATATAAAAAAAAATAGGTGGATTGATGAAGGGTTTGAGCATTCACAAGGACTCAGAATATAAGATGATTCATGAATACAAGAGACATAGTGATTCTTTCTTCTGGTTTATCTTTCAAAATGACAGAAGGCCCCAGTCTGGGTGGATTTAATTAGAGAATTAGAGGTTCCTTTGTTCCAAATTCATCCATTTTATCATACATCAGCTAAATGGTGCTGCTCAGAGTTAGAGTCTTAATATCTGTAGTGTCTACAAAATCAACAAGGAAGAGATTTTGTGTCTGCTAAGATTCTAAAATCGTTGCTAAGTTTGTCACTGAGACACCTTCACGCCTGAGCATTTAGTAAAGGGGGTGCTGTGGCTTATTCATAAATCATGACGCATCACTAAGCGCTGCGTGGTGGCCTCACTCATGAACATCGCTTTCTGCCAGAGCAGAAACAGTACAAATTGGATTTTCAGGGCATGAATATTTGCTACTGTACATCGAACAGATATATGTTCAGGATTCTTGTTCTAAAGTGAACATTGTAAAATCAAATACATCTCTCAAGTCCTGGTAAACAGATATCCATGCATGATGCATACTGCAGTGGTATTGTTTGGTAAATCAACCTCAGAAAACATTCAAATGCCTTATCTTCTAAAAACTGAGCATCTTTAAAAGACCTTGTGAGAGCCTCATTGAACAGATTCTCCACATCTTTGATACATCATCCCTAATTAAGTCAATATTTGACATTGACATTTTTACTTGTTGACATTTTTCTAACAAGTTAAACTTAGAGAGTTTTATAAAAGAACTGGTGGCCTGGTGCACAAATTCATGCACATTTAAAGGAAATTAATTAGAAGAAATATTTTAATATTGCTATTCACCCTTTCTCTATAATAGAAGTCTCAACCAAATTCACGATCAACAAAGACACGTGCAATTGGCGCCAGAGAGAGTTTTTTTTTTCCAGCCCAGTTGAAGCACCCCAACTTCTTTTACAGATAATTGCCAGCAACATAGCAGTAAATATTAACATGAAACACGTTATTATTATAAATCACGCAGGGAGAACAAAAAGTGAAATATTTAACTGCAGCAATGTTTGACTATATTCTGTGCAGTGAGAAAACCTAAAGTCATTTGCAAGGTCGACTTTTCTTACTTCTTTTCATTC